GAGGCCTAGCCAAGCGGGATCAGTAGCCATATGCATATCTGTGCTTGTAGACCTCTGCGGCTTGAAACCTTCTTCACAAATTAAAATAGTTGGATTTGGCCGAAATATGTTTGAATTATTACCTTGTTCCGTTTTGTCCCTGTGTGTACATCTGACTACACTTCTTACGTTATGACAGGACAGACCCACTGTCAACAAAGGTCTGACCGTGGCCGTGACGTTTCATAGACTAGGGTTAGATTAGCTTCCCTTTGACAAAGGGCAGTTACTCTAGCGGACAGTCCGATGGATTGCCGCGAAAGGCAATTAAAAACAATTGTTGTTTTGCGTACATGTTGCTTCGCCACTGTATAAGAAACAGATTTCAGCTGGAACTATATTGGCTACTGTCACTGTCCGACTGACACATCACTTACCCTGTGACGTAATAAATATTAATGAGCGCATTCCAGGAAAACTCGCAATGTTTCGGTAATGTTTGTGAGAGAGGGAAAGCGATTTTGAAGCACAGAATTAAAAAATGACATTATATGATAAAGAGGTTATCACGCTTGTGTGTTTGGGGATGGTAAATATCCTGTATTAGGAATAAACACTATGTATTTAGCTCGCTAAGGCTCGCTAAATACAATGTTTATTCCTAATGCAGGATATTTACCATCCCCAAACACACTCGCGCGATAACCTCTATTTATTCCCATGTGAAGATAGTTTGTACCCTGCCCAACGAGGGTGTTCTGTACGATAAAAAAAATTCTTGATTCTTGGTCAGAATTTGAGAACACTCAATGTATTTTAATGTAACGAATCAGAAGAATGTATAATGCCACTAAATATGGCTGTGTTCTGCAGGTTGTGTTTTGTTTTGTGCATAGGCGAGATCGTTGTTCAAAAGGACATGCCACCCTATGTGTAACACAATATCCGCTGTACCGGTTGACTGGCTCATACCAAAAGATGACACGTGTTGTTACCCTGCGCTCGCCATTTAGGGGATAAAACTGGACTGGTCGGCTCGGAGTCAGTATACTGTGGCTGAGTGGGGTATTCATGTTACACTGCGGCATGGTATCTCAGTGGGCTAGCACCATAAAATCGGCATCAATCCGGACTAGTAAACGTGCACGTGCATGAACGTCGCTACATAAATACAATAATCTTAAACCCGACGTTAAACCCAATTTCGCCCCGCCTCACTGGCTAGTTAATTGGTCAGCATTTCGCAAAAGTTAAATTCCCAATAATAGCGGAACCGATGGAGGAACTTTGGGAAAATGTTATTTCTGTTTACTGTAAACTTATTCTGGGATCTTATTCCTGTACAATCGATCCCTGAGGATGACATTCTAGTGGGACTGCCTCCGTGGTCTGGTGGTAGAGCGTCCGCCCGGAGAGCGGAAGGTCCGGAGTTCGATCCCCGGCCGCGTCATACCAAAAGACGTTTAAATATGGTACTTGTTGTTACCCTGTCTGGCGCTCGGCATTAAGGGGCTAAAACAAGGACTGGTCGGCTCGGAGTCAGTATACTGTGTCTGAGTGGGGTATTCATGTTAAACTGCGGCATGGTATCTCAGTGAGCTAGCACTATAAATCGGCATCAGTCCGGACTAGTACAAGCAGCCACACAAACACACACACGTGCATGCACGTCGCATATAAGGGCAATAATCTTGGATGCGACGTTAAACCCAATTTCATCTCACCTCACCTCATTCTAGTGTATGCATTGTTTCTATTTACAGGCTACGACTCCCGGGTTCGGTGAACGATGGCACGCAGGAAGGACGTCGACCATGGGTACGCCTGGGTGGCGTTAGGAGCAGCGCTCAGCATTCAACTTTTAGTGGCGCTTGTTGTATTTTCATCAGGAGTCATTAACGTGGCTATCATGCAGGAGGTCGAAAACGACATCACCAAAGCATCATGGATTGGTTCAACTCTAAGTGGCACATTCACGCTTTTAGGTAGGACTTTCACTTGGTTCAGATTTGATCTATTGATGTATCAACCATTTACTAATTAATAAAAGCGATAAAACCATTTCTAAAACCATAAGACAATAACAGTATATGAACTCATTGTAAGATTCCGACTATATCAGGGGCATGTGTTTATAAATCACGGTCAAATAGTGATGAAACCAGGTGTTCGCGAAAAGGTGAGCGTATCCTACCCCATCGTAGGTACCCGTCACAAATGCATGCAAAGGAAAGACAATTGTTCGCCAGTGAAAACAAGGGAACATATGGCACAAGTCAAAATAATGAATTGCATTGGACACGTGAGCCCAAAAGGTTGATGTGCAATGTATCGTGAAATATATTAAATTATGACGGAGCCAAACGTGAATGTGCACACATTTACATGATTACGTCAATATTTGCGTCTTTTCGGTAGTTAACTTTTCACAAAATCTGTCGCGGACGTTATTTTCTTCCATGCAAATTAATATATTCTATCTGGGCAACCAATTGCTAAGGGTCGAGTTCAGGTTCATTTCCTTAAGTTAGTTATGGCCACACGTTGATGTTTGTTTGTTTGTTTGTTTGTTTAACGCCGCACTCAGCAATATTCCAGCTATATGACGGCGGTCTGTAAATGATCGAGTCTGGACCAGACAGTTCAGTGATTGACATCATGAGCATCGACCCACGCAATTGGGATAGGATGACATGCATCACCCAAGTCAGCGAACCTGACCACCCGATCCCGTTGGTCGCCTCTTACAAGCATAGTCGGCTTTTACGGCAAGCATTGGTTGCTGAAGACCTATCCTACCCCGGATCCTATCGGGTCCACACGTGGATGTGAATTCGCATTCACTTACATGCAAATAGTACGCCTTTTCTTGTTTTTTGTGTGTTTATGAACTGTTTTCTCTCGGGAATTGACTTAGTATATATAGGACAATAGATATTCGCAACAAAATCGCTCAGACAACCAACTGTCACTATTTCGGCTTCATGAAAAATGTTTCACCATTCACACATGTTCTTCATGCAGGTCCAGTGTCTGGTGTCGTTCAACATCGTGTTGGTTCCAAACTGACTGCATTTGCTGGTGCAACTCTGGTATTACTAGGCATGACACTTGCTTCGTTTTGTTGGACATTAACTGGACTGTTGGTTACTTATGGATTTATTTCAGGTAAGCGTCAGCGTTTTAATATTCCTTTCAAATTATATACATATCGCCACCTCATTTGAATCGAACTCTTGGTATCGTAAGAAAGTATTATCGCTCTTAGAGACGATATGAAATATGAGAATTTCATTGTTAATTATAACATGATATTAAATTGAACAATTAAAATCGAGTTTTACTATTCGTGTCTCTTGTGTCTACAAATCAAGAGGGCTGTGGGCACGGGTGGCCCAGTCGTCTTAGGCGCCGCAATTCGCTGAGCACGCCAGAAACCTATGATTGTGGGTTGGAATCCCGGTTCACCCCAATTATGTTTCTAGGTTTCTCAGCACCATATCCGTGCTCGTGGGTTTCACCGAGGTGGTAAACGTCTGGGACCTGCATCACTTCGGGCTTTCCCCCCACATTAAGCTGACACGCTGTGATATAACTGGATTACTGTTAAAAGCGGCGTTAAACCCAACTCAGTCACTCACTACAAATCAAGAACCTGAATGTGTCCTTTGGCAATATGATACTGTCCATACTGACATGTTCATGAATGTCTCTGATTGTGAACAGTACCATTTTGTAGAATGCTTCAGTGGCATGTAAATAATCAAATCTTGACCAGACAATCCAGTGAGTATTATTATGAACAAAGCTCCTCGCCGTCGGGCTACGATTGCTGTGCAGTCAACCAAGTCACCGAACCTGACATGCAGACCGACCATATGTCGCCTCTTATGTCGCTGAGGATGCAATTGTAACTCGGTACCCCAAGGGGAATGCATCGTGAGATATCAGTAATAATGACCGCCTGTGTCATGTTGTCATCCTGATCATAATCATATGTCACAATGACACGTGATCAAGACTATCCTCAAGTCTGACCAAAGTACGCCATCCATTATCGCCTCATTTCATACAACTCCAGGTTGGAATTTTTTCCCAGCAACCTGTCCTAACCGTAAGAGGAGACGGGATCGGGTGGTCAGGCTCGCTGACTTAGTTGATTACCTGTCATCGTGACCCGTGAAGATCCGGGGTAGAATAGGTCTTCAGCAACCCATGCTTGCCGTAAAAGGCGACTATGCTTATCGTAAGAGGCGACAAACGCGATCGGGTGGTCAGGTTCGCTGACCTTGTTGATGCATGTCATCGATCCAAATTGCGTGGATCGATGCTCATGATATTAATTTCTGGAATGTTTGGTCCAGACTCGATTATTTACAGACCGCCGTCATATAGCTGGAATATTGCTGAGTGCGGCGTTAACCAACAAACCAACCAACCAACCATCCTATGTCACAACAGGATCACCGATCACGTTTCGTCTGTCACATATACAAGCTTTCCCCAATGAAGCTATTAACGGCACCCTGGTGCTTTTCATGTATACTAGCATGGTCCCTAGTATGGTGACCACCCTTCAGTGCCTGACGATCTCTAACCCATTTTCATATTGTGTTGTTAACTAATACTTTCTGCTTTTAAGTAATCTGAACTAGTTTTAAATCGAATCTGTGATATTCTAGTTATTGTTCTGTACATCGTTGACAACTTTTAGTTAGTCTAAATATATGTATTATAAATGTACAACTTCTCGTCACGATATGGCTGAAATACTGCCGTTGTGACGTTAAATATTAACTCACTCAGTCATAATACTAGGTTTTCGTGCAAGAAGTATGGAATGTCTTGATTGTTGTCAATATTATCTCTCCCGTTGGATGCAAGTGGAGAACACGTTGACGTCACCCAAAATATGTTGTGAGATTTGACTAAGATATGCATGGGATGATTACATGTGATCTTGCTGATTCTGTTTCAACCTTAACCTGACGGCGTGCACCGTTGCTCGTGTTATCAACCACATGTCTAAACAGCGTAAGGTTGATTAATTCTATCCATGGCTAGAATATTGTACTGTAACGTTAATTCGTTACTTACTGTTTGGTCTTGTGCCTTTGATTTTAGGCTTGGGACTATCACTGTGTGGAAACGTGGTGGGCGTGGTCCCAGGGCACTACTTCGAGAAGAGGAGGTCAGCTGCCTACGGCGTGTGCATGGCAGGTGGCGCTCTGGGTCTCTTTATAGCTGGCCCACTTACACGATACCTTCTCGACCATTATGACCTGCATGGAACTTTGTTGATAATCGGGGCCATTTCATTCCATATTTGTATTGCAGCATCTTTACTGCGAAAACCAACCCCAACCTCCAACACATCTTTCACAGTCGAAAGCAACAACGAAGAGGATGCATCAGCGGAAGAAGGATCCATTGAAGTTTCAGGGGTTGACAGTCAACCATTTCAGAGCAGTGATGCTACTGAAGCTGGTGTAAACCATATTACAAATACCCAAACAGAGGAAACAGCCATTCCATTCCTCGTAGAAGACATCACACCTCCATGTACACCAGAAAGTGAGGAATCCCAATGCCAGTGTTGTAATACACGACTTTTGTTCGGCGTTATACAGATAGTCACTCAAAAAGCTTTCCTTATGTATAACTTTGCAATCTTATTCTGGTCGTTAGGTGATGCCGCGTGTGTATTACATCTTCCGAACTATACGGAAGTTAAAGGCAGTACACCAAGACAGGCAGCAAGTCTGTTAAGTGCAATGGGTGCTGGTGGCGTGTTCACGAGGGTAGTCATCGGACTCATGGCTTCCGACTCCAGCACAGAATACACTGTGCTCCAGCTCGGAATTGTGGGTATTACGGGACTCATTACGATCCTGTTTCCTCTATATTCCAGTACATATCACTGGCAAATCGTGTTTGGATTCTTATATGGCTTGTACAGCCACGGAACAAATTCATTAATAGGTCCATTAACGATACAGCTGACCAGTTTGTCAAATGTTGCCATTGGTTTTGGTATAGTGTATTTCTCCTGTGGAATTGGATATCTCTTGGGACCAGTCATTGCAAGTAAGTTTGAAAGACCATTTGACATTTTTTGAAAAGAATGAATTTAGCTCCGTTTCAAGCATAACATTGGGTATTTCGTGTCCTTTGTATTTTTATATGTTGATCATAACACGACACAGAGATTCCATGTCAGAATGTTCGTTGGTGCCTGATGTTTGAAGAACCGTTTTAACCTGGGATCAGGGAGTAGCAGGGGACAGTTCGTGCTGTTCACAACTGGTTGACCCCCAATGATATACGAGCAGTGATATACGTTGAATACTAGTTTTCCTGAATGTGGTGTGAAAAAGAACAAAACCTTAACGTGCATTGGCATGTTTATCTCGTGTCGAATGAGTCTGTCACCAACAATAAACTGCAGGGCAAACGAAAGTATACGTCTATGTTTGATGGTGGCTAACAATGACAATGTTTAGTGATGTATTTGACATGGGTGCTATAGTTATGTTGTTGGCTCTAGGTTTGCAGTGGGAACTGTTTTCCGTCCAGTAACAGTTTGATAACGTTGATAATATGTTTAATCAAATCCAAATTGCAAGTGTATTTTACATAATATATGCTTCGATTAATGTATGTTTCATTGTGTTTATATATTATTTCAGGTTTTATATATGACGTTACGAAGGAATATGATTATACGTTCATCTTCGCGGGTAAGATTTCCAATTAAATATACATATATATACAAATCGATTCTATTTATGTGTGGGTTATTGGCACGAGAAAGCTTATATTCTTTCCCGGTTTAAAATTTCAGTTATGTCAATTACCATTTATGGGAAATACGGAATCTGTGAATCAGAAATAGAAAAGGTTCACGCATGACCTTTCCCTGGGACTTTACCATCTGCCAATGGGAGGCACGTGACGCTGTGCATAAGTGAGTCCCTTTGGCTTGTCAGAAATCATGCGCTATAACCATCTGCAAATGATACCTCACAGTAGTTACAAGCTGGAGAAGTGCGTCAGTACCTTCACATAACACGCAATATTGTCAGGGACAAATACTCCGTGCACGTGTCAGGGATCAATACGGATTGGTATCATATCGCCTGCACTCCTACACTTTGCTTACAGTTTTATATCAAGTTATGGTCTGATAGTCACGAGTTATGGTCTGATAGCCACAAGTTATGGCCTGATAGTCACAAGTTATTATCTACCCTTTTTGAAGAATGCACTGGATCATTTTGTATTCAGCAAGAAGACTGCTCGCTGTAAAGGTTGACTAGTCTGGCATATGTAGGTCCGGATTCAATAGGCAGCAGGATACATCTGGTCATGCGTTAAGCAGTGGATCACATAAACCTGAAGCTATAAACTTTGGCATGTGTAGAAGGTACCACCCATGCAGATAGTGTCAGAGGCAAAGAGAATGTCCAGCATCTCTGTTGTGGTAAACATGAGTGTCGACACATAGGAACTGACGTCTGTCTTGGGTCTCCTCCCAGGAATCTTCCAAACTGAAATCTGAGAGGGTCTTTGGTAATGGAGGTAGAACCTTTCTGAGATGTCGGTAAAGTCCTGACTTCATGCTAACAAAGGGAGCGACGGTGGCAGCTGAAGGAGCATCGAGTGTTGATACTTCGTCCTGATAGATTTGAATGGGTGTTATGTCTTCCTTCACACGTTGCCTATGTCTGCTGATGAGTCGCAGCTGTTCTTCACGCTCAACCGATGGGTGACTGATCGGAAACTGGGGAGACATGTTCCCCAATGGTATTTAGTCGACCTTTGCATCCACCAAGGACACACTTCCAATGGACAGCCAGTTGACGCAGGACGTCAAAGCCGTCACGAAGGACCTGTTGACCACCACGCTGTGATGTTATGTATCCAACGCGCTGAAGGTTCGCCATAGTGAAATGAAATAAATGCAGATGGGCCCTTATTTTATACCCATCTTTTTGAGAACATTAATTGAGAATTAAACGAATTACATGAAAACAACATCTTTTTCTGTAGATACGCATCAAATGGTGTTTTAATAATACGCTACTCAGTTGTTAATCTTAAGAAAAGCTGTTCACCCGACTGTCCTTATCAACCATAATACAGTCATTGACTGTGTGTTCATAGGCAGATCATTAATCTTTTGTGCAGTGAGATGTAAACTCAGTGCAACGTGTTTAAGGACCAATACTCCGTGCAAGTGTCAGGGATCAATACTCCGTGCAAGTGTCATGGATCAATACTCCGTGTAAGTGTCAAGAACAAATACTCAGTGCAACGTGTTTAAGGACCAATACTCCGTGCAAGTGTCAGGGATCAATACTCCGTGCAAGTGTCAGGGATCAATACTCCGTGCAAGTGTCAAGAACAAATACTCCGTGAAACGTGTTAAGGACCAATACTCCGTGCAAGTGTCAGGGATCAATACTCCGTGCAAGTGTCATGGATCAATACTCCGTGCAAGTGTCAAGAACAAATACTCAGTGCAACGTGTTTAAGGAGCAATACTCCGTGCAAGTGTCAGGGATCAATACTCCGTGCAAGTGTCATGGATCAATACTACGTGCAAGTGTCAAGAACAAAAACTCAGTGCAACGTGTTTAAGGAGCAATACTCCGTGCAAGTGTCAGGGACCAATACTCCGTGCAAGTGTCAGGAACAAATACTCCGTGCAAGTGTCAGGGATCAATACTCCGTGCAAGTGTCAGGGACCAATACTCCGTGCAAGTGTCAAGAACAAATACTCCGTGCAAGTGTCAAGGATCAATACTCCGTGCAAGTGTCAGGGATCAATACTCCGTGCAAGTGTCATGGATCAATACTCCGTGTAAGTGTCAGGAACAAATACTCCGTGCAAGTGTCAGGGATCAATACTCCGTGCAAGTGTCAGGGACCAATACTCCGTGCAAGTGTCAAGAACAAATACTCCGTGCAAGTGTCAAGGAGCAATACTCCGTGCAAGTGTCAGGGATCAATACTCCGTGCAAGTGTCATGGATCAATACTCCGTGCAAGTGTCAAGAACAAAAACTCAGTGCAACGTGTTTAAGGAGCAATACTCCGTGCAAGTGTCAGGGACCAATACTCCGTGCAAGTGTCAGGAACAAATACTCCGTGCAAGTGTCAGGGATCAATACTCCGTGCAAGTGTCAGGGATCGATACTCCGTGCAAGTGACAAGGACCAATACTCCGTGCAAGTGTCAGGGACCAATACTCCGTGCAAGTGACAGGGACCAATATTCTATGCAAGTGTTAAAGATAAAAAAATCTTTGCAAGTGTTAGGGAACAATACTCTGTGCAAAGTGTCAGGGACCAATACAATGTGCAAATGTCAGGGACCAATACTCCGTGCAAGTGTTAAGGATAGAAAACCTTTGCAAGTGTTAGGGAACAATACTCCGTGCAAGGGATCGATACGTGGAAGACACTTTTCTTCGGATCTGTCTTATATTTGGGCGAAGGGAAATGCAACTAGTAATTAATGCGAATATTCGTCATCCTACACTGATGCAAATGCGAATATGAAGTACTTATTCTTGCCATGTTACACAATCTACAATTACCAGTATTGTTGCATTAGCTTATAACATACCATATAGTAATACTTATCTAATTTTTCAGGTATATGTTTCATGTCCAGTTCCATGTCGGCAGCAGGAATAAGTCTATTCCGAAAGAGGTGATTCGAACGACAACATTACACCGTTGGATACAGCTTTGTGAATGAAGACCTCATTTACATTATCTAACAGTACTGCCACATGCCGTCGAAGTTACACACTTCGATTACACATGTTTTATGTTGCTACCAGTAGGGCGCAGGCCTACACTATCTCGGGTTCTTACACAAATGCTTTTAGAGATATGTATACAACTATTGATGCCAATGCCTTATATACATATATATAAACGTCGTTAAACTAGCATAAGAAATATAATTTATTATAGATTACTTATGTAAAATGTCATTGTAATCTGGCCGCGTCTACGCTCAACTGCCCCTGTATTTATCTCAGTGGGCGACGTGTAAATGCGTACGTCCATCCACTGTTACACAAGTACGTTGCAACAGTGGTGAGCTGTATTGGAAATGATATGGCTGATGTGCTGTCAAAATGTCATTTTATCAAAGCGACGTTTCGGTACAGTGCATCTTTATTAAACAAGTGATCTTAAAGTGGCATTGAGAAGCTGCAGAATCTAGTAACACAATGTTTCTTAATATCTAGTGGTGTACGCCAGGGATGTATATTAAGTCCAGTTTTGTTTATTTTCTTCATGAATGAGCTCGTCATGATGGTGTGTTTGTCACACAAGATATTATAGATTTAATGTCACTTCTATTTGCTGATGCTATTATAATGGGTTTTTTTATAATATGTTAAGGTCTACAGAAACAATTGAATGCCTGACATTCTTTTTGCAACAGATAGGGAACGGAAGTTAATTTGTCAAACAAATGTAATTGTTTTAAGAAATGGAGGTATCGTTGCCAAAAATGAAAAAAATGGGCATATAGTAATATCGCCTTAAACATTGTTACTGATGATAAATATTTAGGCTTTACGTTACCGTCTAAACTATTATGTGCAAACAAGTAGTGACTCAAGCATCAAAATCATTTATACCTATCTAGATTTTTTTCAAGCAAAATAGATGTATCCTTTTCTACAATTTGTGCTATATTTGAGGGCAAAATATCTTGTTAAACGAAGCAGAAATATGGGGCACAATGTATAATAGCGATTTTGAAAAATTACATTCTTCTTACTTCAAACGCTTTTTAATGGTTGGAGAATATGCTTCCTATACAGGTATTTTAGGTGAGGATGTGATCGCATAGATATCCTTGCCAATGTTATAAAACTACTGGAAGTATGTTAGTATGTTAGTATGTGATAAGTATGAACATCTTAGGGAAAAGTTTATTCCAAAGTTTAACAATATGCATAACATCAAGATGTTACGTAATGGCCAGCCTTATTAATTCTTACAAATTCTGCTATTGTAAGTTCACTAGCCATATTGTTGAAACATATATTCTCTGTCAGAAAGTCGGGCTTTCCTCCCACATTAAGCGAGCACGTCGTGATATAACTGGAATACTGTCAAAAGCGGCGATAAACTCAACTCCCTCACTCGCTCACTTACTGTCAGATAGTTTTCATAAGTCATGTTTATCACGGGACTAAACAAATGCAACTGAAATGTCATTTGTACAATGGGCCATGTGGCCTCAATTACCGAAAGAAATGTATGTCTGCCTGCAAGAATCTATTAATACACAGTTGACATATGGGCGTGGCATTTGAGAAGCTATTTAGAATCAATGAAGATAACAACGACGTATGGATCTTAAAGTGGTATTTGAGGAGCTCTTTAGAATCAGTGAAGACAACAATGACGCATGGATCTTATTGTGGTATTTGAGAAGCTATTTGAATCAGTGAAGACAACAATGACGTACATGTATGGATCGTATAGTGGTATTTGAGAAGCTATTTAGAATCAGTGAAGACAACAATGACGCATGGATCTTATTGTGGTATTTTAGAAGCTATTCAGAATCAATGAAGACAACAATGACGTATGGATCTTATTGTGGTATTTGAGGAGCTTTTTAGAATCAATGAAGACAACAATGACGTACATGTATGGATCGTATAGTGGTATTTGAGAAGCTATTTAGAATCAGTGAAGACAACAATGACGCATGGATCTTATTGTGGTATTCTAGAAGCTATTTAGAATCAATGAAGACATCAATGACGTATGGATCTTATAGTGGTATTTGAGAAGCTATTTAGAATCAGTGAAGACAATAATGACGTACATGTATGGATCGTATAGTGGTATTTGAGAAGCTATTTAGAATCAGTGAAGACAACAATGACGCATGGATCTTATTGTGGTATTCTAGAAGCTATTTAGAATCAATGAAGACATCAATGACGTATGGATCTTATAGTGGTATTTGAGAAGCTATTTAGAATCAGTGAAGACAATAATGACGTACATGTATGGATCGTATAGTGGTATTTGAGAAGCTATTTAGAATCAGACAACAATGACCTTTGGATCTTATGGTGGTATTTAAGAAGCTGAAGAATCAAGGATGAGAGAGTTGACTGATAGATCTTTACATGACAAATGAGAGGCTCAACTAAACGTCCCACCGAAAGTTGAAATCCATGTGACTTGAAGACCCTGTTTACAGTCTACATGATTTGTATGTACCGCATGGACATGTGTGAATGTTTTCACTGCCAACTGTGTATATTAACCTAATATTAATATACATGTCGGCGTTTTGAGTGCTCGAACACTTTGAAACACTCTAGGTAATGTAGACAGTGGCCGATTACTTGTGAGTTGCGTTTTGACGACACTAAACATTCATTGCTCCTCTCAAGCTGATGAAAACAACGGAACACTTGACGTTTGTTTGTGAAGAAAAATTAACCTCGCCAAAGTTAACTTCAGGGTAGCAGGTTTTGTTTACAATTTTCACCTAAACCAAACTGACTGGTTGTAGACATACGCATGGCACATTTTGTTTACCACATTTATCACATCAAGGATCATAACGAGAGTCAGTCTGGGATTCGAACCCACGGTCAGCGGACAAAGGCATGCAACTCGACCTGCTGAGACATAGGCCAGTATGCCTTCTCTGCTGCCACGGATTAGTTTTGCTTTATATATACGGGTAGATTTGTACAATCGCCAAATTACAGGTGATTAATATAGGTCATTAATAGAGAGAGAGAGCCAACTATACTTGTAATAAACGAGACAGCCCGGCTATACTGGTCATAATGAGATAGCCCGGCTATACTTGTCATAAATGAGACAGCCCGGCTATACAGGTCATAAATGAGACAGCGAGGCTATACAGGTCATGAATGAGACAGCGAGGCTATACTGTCATAAATGAGACAGCCCGGCTATACTGGTCATTGAGACAGCCCGGCTATACTGGTCATGAATGAGACAGCGAGGCTATACTGGTCATAAATGAGACAGCCCGGCTATACTGGTCATAAATGATGTAACCCGGCTATACATGTCATAAATGAGACAGCGAGGCTATACTGGTCATGAATGATGTAGCCCGGCTATACTGGTCATTAATGAGACAGCGAGGCTATACTGGTCATAAATGAGACAGCGAGGCTATACAGGTCATGAATGATGTAGCCCGGCTATACAGGTCATAAATGAGACAGCGAGGCTACACTGGTCATGAATGAGACAGGGAGGCTATACTGGTCATAAATGAGACAGCCCGGCTATACTGGTCATAAATAAGACAGCGAGGCTATACAGGTCATGAAAGAGACAGCCCGGCTATACAGGTCATAAATAAGACAGCGAGGCAATACAGGTCATGAATGAGACAGCCCGGCTATACTGGTCATAAAAAGAGAGTGCCCATTTGTCGATACTAGTCACAAAGGACAGAGCCCCGATAAACTGGTCATAAAAGATACGGCCTGGCTATACTGGTTATAATGGAGAGTGCACCATAATTCAAGCCTAGTTCGGCAAGGTTGGAATCTGATAGTAAGTAAACTACCTTGCCTCAGGAAGATGTCCCCTGCTATACTTGTGATCAAGGAGAGTTCCCAAACACACTGACGAGATCAGAGAGGGCTACCTCCCTGTTTTCAATAGTGGGAAAGTGGTCCAAATAAGAAAATAATATGCATGGTATCGTTTTAAGGGTTAAATATGCAAGTGCTCTTAATCTTTATCTATTCATTTCACATTCGTGAATTTTCGTGCGACGTACACATAAACTACTGGCTGGGGAACAATGGTCGCATTCTTTTGGAGACGTATTAATATCACGATTTACAGTATATGTCACAAAGAAAATTATGTTAATGGCGTACCTTCGGCTGGGCGCGTTGTGCTACCGATACGAGCCTATGTGTCAGTATGTCAGTAAGCAGAGACAGATACAAAACTGCTTTGAATGGTGTGGTCTTACATTTCATCTTAAAGCATTGTTCGCCTGCAAGATCGCGACTGTCCTCTTTGTCAAGACGTTCTGTAGTACAGGCAATCTAAGGCAAAACAAGGGTCAACCTAGGACAAATTGCAAAAGTAATGTAACTATGTTTATTTTGAAGTTAAAAATATATATTATGTTATATAATTAATATAGAAGAATATAATCAGTGGATCATATTTTGTTTGAAGGTCAAACACATGCCCTCTCTGCTAAAATTGTCCACTGCAGCGGTTTTAATTTCAGTGATACACGTTTGATTGTAATTTCAGCTTCAAATTCAATGAATAAAGACACAAAAATAATAAAATATTGTTCATTTTATTTTTCTTAATAATAGTTACTTGGTATATGATGACTTTTAGTAGCTTTCATATTGATATATACATCATTTGAGATAATGAACAAAATGTGCAAGACCACAGTTGTGCTTCTTTGCATGTGATGACACAAAGAGTAAAGTCGAGTATATGCATGTCAATCATTTGGATCCATGTCAATCATTTGGATCCATGTCAATCATTGGTAGAAACATGACGGATGATGTCTCTTGGTGACTTCTATGGTGTAATAACTGCATAAAGCCAGACCACTATAGTCCAGAGTGAGTGAGTGAGTTTGATTTTACGCCGCTTTTAGCAATATTCCAGCAATATCACGGCGGGGGACACCAGAAATGGGCTTCACACATTGTACCCATGTCGGGAATCGAACCCGGGTCTTCGGCGTGACGAGCGAACGCTTTAACCACTAGGCTACCCGACCGCCCCAGAGGTTTTAATGGATTGGGAACACAGTGTATATGTTTACTATTTGAGTTGGTTTAATGAGTCGTTGAACAATATTCCAGTTATATCACGCCATGCCAACGTGACGTGAAATGAAAGCCTGAACTAATGCAGGCCTCCACGGTGAAACCCACGAGGACGGGTATAGCACAGATAAACCTGGAAACACAATCAGGGCGAGCCATAATCATTGGCTTATGGCACAACTAAGGGTCGCAGCTCTGCATATCGAATTGCGGCTTTCACTACGGCTTGGTCACCCGTGCCTCCTGTTTAGTTGAATCTGACGTAATCCTTTTTAAGTTTTTGGTAGAATGACAGCGAAATTCAGCTTAAAACGCACCACATGATTTGTATGCAAATAGTGAACATGTCAGTGCAAAAAGCGAAAATATCAGTGCAAATAGTGACAACATCAGTGCAAATAGCGAAAATATCAGTGCAAATAGTGACAACATAAGTGCGAATAGTGAAAATACCCGTGCAAATAGTGACAGATATCAGTGCAAGTAGTGAGAAAAGCAGTGCAAATAGTGCAAATAGCAGTGCAAATAGAAAAAAATGGCAGTGCAAATAGTAATA